AAAAAAAAAAAGTCAGCGAGAGAGAAGCCCGACCCGAACCCGAAGCAATGATTGACATTTTAAGGCCCGACCCGACCTGGATTTCGGGTCGGGCTCGGGCGGCCCGATCTTACCTCTAATGCCATGGCAACATCTTTTCATGAAAGCTACAAACTTTGTTTTGCCGTATCATAAAGGCCTAAAAACTCTCTTCCGGGCATTTATGAGTTAGCCTTGGTTAACCTGTGAAGAGAAAATCATAAAAAATTAATTAAATGTATTCCTTTAGCCAGTCAGTGGTGCTAACACTGGCATGACAAATAAGTTCGTAGACATAGTCTATCATCAAATGTGAGTACTTTTGAGAAGATAGGATCATCAGGATCAAGTTACAGCAGCTTTTATTGTTACTGTGAAACATCAGACTTTGCGGCACCGTAATGGCTTTGCCTTTTGCCAAAAAGTCACAATAGCTAATGTAGGGCAGGATCAACCTCTTGAGGCTTTCCGAACAAAATTTCAGTTGGACGTGCTCATTGGGCTCAGCACAGTACATTAAAATGTACCGGTAAGCGAAGGCATTTCTTTGTGACACTAGGTGGTGCGATAAGTATGACAAAATATAGAGTCAAATGCATGTGAAGTTTAGGATTTTCTATATAATTATCTTTGATGGAGGATAATAGTACTGTATTTCGAAAACTCGAGAATTTTCCCCCTGTTGTTGTCCCAGGTCTTTAAATGGCAAAGCCCGTGTCCGAAGTTAATCGGATGACAAGTGCGTTAAGGTACGACACCTGTAAATGTGAAAAAAATGGGAGGAAATTGGACATTCAAAAATAGTGCACACTCTATTCATTTTAATATCTAGCAGTCGCTGCTTGAGTCCTAATAATTCCTACAAAGACAATTGGGAACGTGCACCGGTCACTGCTCGGGCTGTGATGAGAGTTTGTAGTACAATAAAATGAGGAAAATGCCAAGGCCAATGCCAAGCCCTAGTAAGACACTGTACTATTTTATGAGCAATCCATAGATCATCACGCAAAAGTTTAATGATGTTGGTCAGAAGCAAAACAATTTACACGGGGCACCTGACTAACATGAATGTGTTTTGCAGCAGATCAAAAAGGGTCTATTGACTCTGGTGGTCAGGACAAGCCTGCGAGTGGGGGCCTTGTGTGGCCAGGCCCAAGTCGCTCAGCTGTGCAGATCACGCTCACTCAGCTCCACCACGGGCATGGCCAGAATCAGTGATGAAATGGGAAATTACAACTTCAAAGCTTGTAAGACTTCCATCAGTGATGTTCTTAGTTCACCTGCTAAACCAGGGGACCGCGTCATGATGGAGATCATCCTGCAGAAAGGTCAGACTCTTGTGAATTGTCTTCAGGTTGTCTGTCGTTTTGGGGATTGAATGCAAACATGGAGATGACTTTTTCATTACCATGAGATTGTCAGTGAATCATTTGGCGTGAGACAGTTTTTGCCATTGCATCCTGGATTGCTTTAAGAAGTGTGCTTCAAGGGAAGTACCTCTCTCACCAAAAACTGCACACACACAAAAACACACACACATACCCACCTATAATTCTCAAAAGCACCCAAACACTCTCACAATCAATCAAAAAATGTTAACACTCACCAAAAACCTCACACACACTGAAAGCCCTCCAAAACTACTCTCTCATGCCAAAACAAATTCAACTCAACCTCTCGCCTTAACAGTCTCTCTCTCTCTCTCTCTCTCTCTCTCTCTCTCTCTCTCTCTCTCTCTCTCTCTGTCTCTTATGTATCTAGATCCAAAAATCAGATTAGGTTTTGGTGAATTTGTTTTGTTCCCTTGGAGCCAAAACAAAATTGTAACCCTTGAATATGATGCAGTTCTCTGCTTTCTTGCATATTAATTCAGTCAACAATTTTCAGCATACATTTCACATCCAGTTGCCAGAGAAATACTGACGATCTGTATAAATATTTTTCTTTCTAGAGGTCAGTGTTGGTCTGGGTATTGGACTGTGCTGTGTGCCATCCACTGATGGATGTCCTGGAATCTACATACATACCTTGTCACCTGGATCTGTTGCACACATTGATGGAAGACTTCAGTAAGGGCTCGGAAATTGTCTAAATGGAAGTAAAAAAAAAAAAAAAAGTATTATTTCCCATGTTTCGCATAAGGTGCTTATTAAATCAAGTGCTTTTGTGTATCAGAAGCGGCTAATGAATATTGCAAGTTGTCCTACTGTGTATCATTAAAAAGTAGGCTACTACGAGTTGTAAAGTGCTTCTGCGCATAATTAAGTTTTACAAAAGTCCGAAAGAACATTGCACATTTACTGTCTGCAAAATACGATAAATAGCTACTATCTGTAGTTCTAAGTAAATGAGAATAGTGCTGATTGAAGTGCTCGAGAAATTGAAAAAGGCTCTTTTGTACACTGCTCTGTTACATCAAGTTCACAAAAGGGGACTTGGTAACACTTGCTTACAGATCTGGTTGTTCCTCATTCATGCAAATAAATGCTTCTTAAATATTGCCTAGCTGGCAAATTCTCGAACTAAGAGTGGTCGACCGTCTCAGATCTTGCCACCTACATACAATTTAACATTGCCCTAAAATAATCCGTCAAATAGCAGTGGCGGCCATGATCCAGTTTTTGAATAAATAAGGCAGCAACACCATTTTAGTCTGTGCTGCTGTTGATTCACGACAGGTTTGTTGCTGTTTGTGATGCCATGGTGAGGGCCAATACATGTCGAGAAATAGTTGTGTTCCCTTTATATTTCACTTTGCATTTACAAAGGATGTACTCGGCAAACATCTTGTCAAGATGATGTCCTCTCTTACAAAAGCCAAACTTTTTTTTTTTTTCTCTTCAAAATTGTTTAAAGCATGAGTGGCACGCAGTGGCGGATGCTGGTCTGTCAAGGAGGGGGAAGCTCAATTTCGGCCTACATCAGAAAATGTGTCCGTTTATTTATATGTGAATTCTACTCTCCGGTCCTTTTCAAGAAAATGATCTGTGACCCTTTCATATCAACAAGGCGTCTTTTCCAGGGTCTTAACTGTGGTGATATACCCTAAGTCAGTCTACAAACACAAGCAACTACAATGAAACAGACCAGAAATAAAATACTAATCTGTCGCTAGTCGTTTTCAACAAAGAGCGTGTCGCTAAGATTATGAGAAGAATTCTCCAGTTCAACTCAGAACAGAATGAGAATCGAAAAATGCTCCCACGGATGCCGACACCAAAAGATCAGTAATTGGCTCATTTCGCTGTAAATCAAAAAGAGAATCAGCCAATCATCATGTAGAAAAGCTGACCGTCTGGGCCAGCCGATAAACGGCCACTGTCCATAGACTCCCAGAGACGCTGAGCATCCGATGGGTGGGACAAAACCAGCATTTATCCAATGACTCGTCTCGTTTCAGTGCATTGAGACAACCTACACTGAACTCTTAAGATGCCCAGCGTCCGCGCTGTAGACGCTCAGCATCCACACAGTTTAAAGCACAGTGAAGCTGCGGGAATGAATGAGAAGAAAGTCGCGTCGTAACCAGTAATAAGAAAGTGATTCGGAACAAACGTTGAGTGCGTCGTAGCGCATATTTAGTCAATGACATGTACACAAAATTGTATGTACACACATATATTTGATCACTTATTTTTTGACATTTTAGGGGAAGCTGAGCTTCCCTTGCAGTCTTAGAACAATCGCCTCTGGTGGCACGGTAGACGATTGGTTAGCATGTCCGCCTCACAGTGCAGAGTAGCAGGGTTCAATGCTGGCTCCAGCCTAACTTTGTGAAGTTTGCATGTACCCAGAGAAAACCGACAAAGGCACGGGGCTGTGTGGGTTTTCTCCGGGTACTCCCAATTTCCTCCCACATTCCAAAAATGTGCATGGCATGTTAATGGAACACTATAAATTGTCCCTCGGTGTGAGTGTGAGGGCGAAAGGTTGTTTGTCTATGTGTGTCTGCGATTGGCTGGCAACGAATTCAGGGTGTCCCCCGCATACTTCCTGAAGACGGCTGAGATAGGCTTCAGCACGGCTGCATACCCTTGTGAGGATAGGATTAGGAAATGGATGAATGGATGGGTGTTTAAAGTATTTGCCATCTTGAGGTATTGAGTGTTGACGTTTGATTTAATTTTTTTTTTTTTTTTTTTTTTGGTGAAATAGCTGCGTCATGTCAAATCTGAAAAAAAATGGCTTTGAAATGTTTTGTATTTATTATTCCTCTTAGGATCCCCCCCCAACCCCCCCCCCCACTCCCTCCCATTTCTTTCACTAAATTTGGATTGATCTGCTATTTTTAGGTATGGGGATGAGATCATGGAAATCAATAACACTGTGGTTTACAATATGGCACTAAACGATGTCTACACAGTCCTGAGCCATTGCACACCAGGGCCAGTTCAGGTGATCATCAGTCGACACCCTGACCCCAAAGTATGTAATGCCTTCACTTAATTTATGCACTTTTATTATTTACTGCACTACCCGATACCCACGCTTATTTGCAAAGTTATGTTTTGTTGTCTCATCAGCTTTGTTTCTGAAACAAAACTGTGCTGGGTTACCATTAACTAGACCAACTGCCTAGACTGGCTTTTCCTCACACTTTGTGACAGCGCTACTGACTTTGGGTCTTTGTTTATGAAGTTCTAAATTGTGTCTTGAGAAGTTGGGAGGAGATATTCAGCGGTAGTCCAGTGATGATTGTGGTTTACTGTATGTTCGCGATGACACCAAATTGGCACAGTCAACAATTGTGGCCGGCACTGCCACTTTTGAATATAAACATATTGTATACAGTACATTGTTTTAAATTGTTCCAATGTTGATAAAATAGTTTATATATGGATTAATACAATGTCGCAAAATTAACTATGAATATTTTAAGGGCATGTCACCAAGTGTGACTTATTTGAATACAATACTGTATATTGTGTTGACTGTGGACTGTGTACATATCAGCCTGCTCTACTCTTTTTGTCTTCTTTAGGTGTCAGAGCATCAGCTGAATGATGCAATAGCTCAAGCTGTGGAAAATAGCAAACTGAGACCGGACAAGAGCCACTGGAGTATTGATGGCCATGGTAAATTCTTTTTTCCACCAACTACCTTATAGTCTTCTTCAAGGTTAACCATATACAGTGTAGTAAATCCTATTTAGTATGTACTATAACACACTTTGTGCAGAGATGAAAGTGGACTTTTCTGAAAATTCCGGAAAAAAAAAATAAATAAATAAATGTGTGTGTGTGTGTGTGTGTGTGTCTGTGTGTGTGTGT